TTCATGTTGCTTTTATCAGCAATGGAAAAATAGGAGAGCAGCTCTGGCCAAAGGATCATTCATTAGTGCCATTATATCTTAGCAACATAATGTATAATCAACAGTAGTATTACTTTTCTCGATATCATTATAGTTGTAATATTTTTAGTCGTGGTTTCACTGAGATCCCATCTCATTTTACCATTCCTACTATCATTTGTTACTATTATCTTCATCACCATTTCCTCATCATCATTATAAATAGTGCAAATGATCTTTAGTTCAAGAATGCAATCTGAAGGGAATATCGAGTACCTGCTGCACTGTTATTTTGTTTTCGTGAAAAAAATAGTTTTAATATCATATCTTTAACCGGTGTAAATTTTCTGAGGTGCAATAGGCAGAAAGAAAGAAAGAAAGAGAGGCGGCATTTAATATTGCATGAATCCTTGTGTTTAGAACCTTTTCCCTCTGGCCCCTTATTCGTATCTCACGCATATCTCTCTCTTTTCTCTCTCTGTCGCTTCCTTTTACCCTCCGCCCTCGCCTCCCCTTCCCCTTTTCCTCGCATTATCCTCCGCCTTCCTTTTATCTCCATCTTCCTTGCCTCTCCCTCCTCATCCTCCTCCTTTCTCGCCATGCTCCCCTCATCTGTTTATAGTTATTACCAATATTAATGTTACTTTTACTTTTATTTTTTCATCAGTATTTCAAGTCTCTTCATTAGTTGCATTTTGATTGTCATAGTAGTTGCTAATAGTAAAGTATGAAAATTCAGATTCTTTATTATGTTCATTTAAATTTACTGGAGTCATTGCTGCCGTTGAAATTACTTTGAGGAAATGCTAATTACAGGCCAAATATAATTAACTCAAATGATCATCACAATGGATATCAACTCTTTCAGTTCGGACCTACGTTCATGTCGGCAGACTTGTCCATCAGTTATCATGTGTAATAAGGTGTTGAATGCATGCACTTCCTCCTTTTTTCGTGAGTGACGGCAAGACACTGCCATTAACTTGATTAATGTGCTTTGGTAATTATACTCAGGAGCTCATTTCCCTCTTGGTCCATTTGTTCAATTGAGGGATTTAGATTTTTGTGCTTCGTTCTTGCAAATGAAGTATGCCATGTTTTCAGGAAAATGGCAATGCAGTACCATGAACTGATGTGAATGAAAATGCGATTGATTGATTAATGTCATGTTTTACTTTAGTTACAGAAAGATTGAAACTATGTAAATTACTAAAAGCAAATCTACCCACCAAGAGTTCCTTGAACAATAACACGGAGGGACGCGGTATTCCACGCAAGGTTTGCAATACGACGTATTAACGCCCCAATTTTGTTTAATTCGCTTTGTACATAAACAGAGCGGTTGGTTGAAGGGAGCGTGAGGTGGGGCTTTATTTTCCAAGTGGTGGTAGAAATATGATGAAGAAGGTAATATTAATAATAATGATGATAATGATAGAACAGGAAAATAATGACAATAGTAATAGTATCAAATACAATAATGATAACTACTTAACAATTACTATTATGGTTATAATGACAATATATTCATAAAGATAATAGTAATAGTAATTTTGGAATTTAATATTATTATTATTATAATAATGATAACAGTAGTATTAATATCATTTTTATTATTATTCTTATCATTATTGATATATATATTAGTATCACTATTGTTGTTGAATTTTTAAATATTGTTATAGTGAATATGGCAATTATCATAACGATATTCATAACGATAATGATAGTAATGGTTATGATGAAAATAACAATGGAAAGGATGATGATATTAATAATGAAAAGAGGACATTAATGATTATAATGATAATAGCCATAATAATAATGATAATGTTGACGACGGCAATGATAATAACAATCGAAACAATACCAATACCATTAACACTACAAATAATGATAATGGTAATAATCAAAACGAAATTATGATAATGATAATTAATTGAAATGAAATTATGATAATAATAGTTGATATTAGATTATGATAATGGCAATAATTAAAAAGAAATCATAATAATGATAATGAAGGTAGTAATAACTGCTGGAAGAGGCATAAAAGAGAAAGGGAGAGGGAGTGAGGCAAAAGAGGCGGAGAGGAGGTGATGCGGTGAATTGAAGGAACGAGGAGGAAAATAAACTGTCCTCACTTTTTTCGTTCCTTTAGCTTTTTGTTGTTTCTCCCTTGTTCCTTCCCACCAGCTCTTTTATCTCATGTTCCCTACTCCGGTCTCTCTTCTTTCTTTCATCACGCTTTCCCCTTCTTTGTTCCCCTTTTTTATTTCTATTTTCATCATGCTCCTCCCTTATCCCCCCCCCCTTTTCACTTTCACTCTCATTCAGCTACTCTGATAACTGGAGTGAAGTGGACAAGATCTAGAAGTAAAAAACTCGTTCGATTTCCAACAACAGCTGACACGGTTTTTCACTCCTTCCATACCTTACCTGATATCTCCATCTCTTTCCTTCCCATGAGTTCTTTTCTCCCTTCTCTGTCCCCTCTCCTTCCTCTTGGCCCTTCCTTCGACCTCATCCTTCCTTCCATTCTCCTTCTCCCCTTCCACTTTCTTAATGCTGGATCCTTAGCTTTTCCTCACTGTTGCTGTGAGGAAATTGCTAAAGGCGAAAGTAATTAAACGAGAGAAAAGGGAGATTGAAGGAAAAAGGATGAATGGAGAACTAAGATAAAAATAGAACTTAAGGCAAAATATCAAATTATTCCTTTATACTACATTTAATCATATTTTTTTTTCGCTCCCCCCCCCTTGCCTATCCCTTGTCCCCCTTCCTCCCTGCCGCTGGGTCGTCGGCCTTTTCGCACCATGGATGAAGGGGTAAAACTGCCATGGAAGGAGAGCAAGCAGAAAGCACGAAGACGAACGAAGTGAGAACATGATGCTGAATGCTCTCACATACCCATGACTGCGCTCAGAAATGCCCATTTAAGGCAGAGTCAGGGAGTACGACGTTGGCCCCTAATTATGAGC